ATGCTGCTTGGCCTGCTGTGTTCATCCAGCCCTGCACCTTGTTGTCTTGGAAAATGGACCACATAGGAAATCTGTCAGTGCTCAACAACTGCATAAAATTGAAATGTATAACTCCTTCAGTGTTAAAATCACTCAACATTCACGTAGACGTAAGTGTAAAGAGTGAGACAAATTTGTGCCATGTGGCACGATGGGATAATGGTTCAGTTTACAGTGATTGTGCTCTCTAATGATTCTGCAGAGTGTTGTACACTGTTTCAAATGTTACAAATTTCTGTGTGTTTGGTTTTAAGACTTTCCCACACAGTGAACCACTGGTTGGCTGTTCATCACAGAAGAGATATTCTGTATTAAAGAAGGAAAAAAAGAGGTGATCTTAATGTGAAAAAAAATGCATGCTTACTAAAAAAAAAACAAACAGGCTATTCAAGTGAGGCATGTGATTCAAATTATAGATTTCATAATCCAAAGACTCATGGAATTATTGCCTTTATTAATTGAGGCATTAAATGCATGAGCAAAAGAAGTTATGACAGAGCTGTACATAATTATAGTTAGGCTGCAGCTGGAGTACCATGTGTAGTTCTGGTCACCACACTATTGGAAGTATGTGACTTCACTAGAGAAGGTTCAGATGATATTCACCAGGATGTTGCCTGGAAAAGAGTATTTCGGCTATGAAGAGAGACTAGGTAGGCTGGTGTTATTTTCCTTACTACAGCATAGGATAAGTGGGGACCTGATTGAGATATATATAGGGGCATAGACAGGAAGAGACTTTTCCCCTTGGTAGAGGGGTCAATAATGGGTGAAGGCAAGTTTTATAGTAAGATACGAGTTTAGAGGGGATTTAAGGCAAGACTTTTTCACCCACAGGGTGATGATATCTGGAACTCCTGTCTAAAAGGTGGTAGAGGCAGGAACTGACAAAACATTGTACTAGTATTTAGAATAACATCTGAAATGCAGTAGCATACAAGGCTATAGGCCAAGTGCTAGGAAATGGGATTAGAACAGATATTTGATGACCAGTGTGGACAAAAAGGACATTTTCTCATGTAGTAAAAACTCAATTACACGTCTGCCCGTTAGAATATATTCATCACTATTCACAAACAGTATCAACTTTAAACATTAACTCAAGAAAGTATCAGAAGGCCTTGAAAAACATTATTTTCATGCCAAGTCCAATTTTAGATGCTGATAGACTTGCATGTATTTCAAGTTTCAACTGTTTTTGATGTGATAATTTGTTTTATTCATCTTTGGAACGTGGGTGTTGCTGGCTGTGCCAGCATTTCTTGCCTGTCCCTAGCTGCCCTTGAGAAGGTGGTGGTAAGCTGCCTTCTTGAACCACTGCTACAGGTCGACCCACAATGCCCTTAGGGAGGGAATTCCAGGATTTTGACCTAACGATAGTGAAGGAACAGTGATATATTTCCAAATCAGGAATGAGTAGCTTAGAGGGAACTTGGACGTGTTGGTGGTGTTCCCATGTATCTGCTGCCGTTGTCCTTCTAAATGGAAGTGGTCATGGGTCTGGAAGATGCTGTCTAAGAATTTTTAGTGAAATTCTGCAGTGCATCTTTTAGGATGCTACTAAGCATCAGTGGTAGAGGGAGTGGATGTTGTGGATGTGGTACCAATCAAGCAGGATGCTGTCAAGTTTCTTGAATGTGGTTGGAGCTGCACCCATCCAGGCAAGTGGGGAGTATTCCCTGTAGATAGTGTACGGACTTTAGGGAGTCAGGAGAGGGCTTACTCACCACAATATTCCTAGCCTCTAACCTGTTGTTGTAGCCACTGTGTCCATCCAAGTTTCTGGTCAATGGTAACCCAGGATATCGATAGTGGGAGAATTTAGTGATACTAACACAATTTAACGTCAAGGGTTGGTGGTTAGATTATCTTTTGTTGGAGATGGTCATTGTCTGGCAGTTGTGTATAAACTTGCTGCTTGTCAGCCCAAGCCACATCCAAAATAACTTTGCTACAAACTGTTAGGAATACAAGGTCATAAACTGAAGAACCACTTCTATACAACTGCATTATTTTCAAGACATACCAACATGAGTAATTTGCACAGGAATCTGCAGAGCAGCCACTGGACTGTTGGGGACACTGTTGTTTTCCTCCATTTGAGCTAATCGAACCCGCAGATGCTGAACAGAGGATGAATTTGAATTGCGTGAACTCGATCCAGTTTGACACTCGGGTAATTGGTGCACTGGGATGTGTGGTTGTTTTAGGGTCTCTACCAATTGTCTCAAACTGTCTACCAATTCTGCCACAGAAAACAGAAAAAAAAACCCAGTAGAACTGGAAGACTGGAAAGTAGGTTACATATGTCACAAATTCAGGTGGTCATTAGCAAGAGAAGTATGTACAAATTGATGCAGGTAACCGGTATTTAAAATATATCACCTACTATATAAAAAGGCATTTAGCAGAGCAAAAACATACGTATTCTGCAGATATGTTGTCAATTTTTAAGACTAGAGGGCAAAATATGTTCTGAATTCCTTATTTCTGACTGAAAAGCAAGAGATGAACCATATAGTATATACATGGCTTGATCTTCATTGCTGAATAAAAACAATAAAACTTTCCAACATAAATGAGCTAAATAAGAATACATGTTCAGCTGTTACATCACTGAACAGCTAATGATATCCACATTTCATCAAATACGATTGCAGTTAGATAGAAATCAGAAGTACCTAGCAACCAAAATATTATATTTAGCAATTAGTCTTTGTCATACAACTTCTTTTGTTACTTTTTGCAGCTAACATCCTGAAACTATTCCAATTTAAAAAACATGCAATATGGTGTAAAACTGATGCTAATGTTTATTCGTTATGGATAATATGATGGCAAAAGTCAATGGCGCATTGGTGGAAACGTTGTACCTGCAAATGTCAAATCTTTATGATTTGTAACCTGCCGCTTGATGGTCCACCATTTACTTCTCAGCCACTGTGGAGATCGGACACTACTCCAGCCTTCTGCCATGATATCCCAGTTAATCTCACTTTCATCCTCTGCATTGAGTTCTGCGATTCTACACCAAATAATTAAAATATCATATTATTACATGCAGCAGTTTATAAAGAAGCAGAATGGTATCAAAACTAAGCAGTGTGAGAGGCACTGTCTCTTGATCCACCATCTTGATATACGTAAACCAATGGAAGTATAATTCAAAAGTAGTGCTGTCTAAAAATCTGTAACTTCAAAAGGAATGAATATTTTACAGTCAACATATTGTATATAGATAAAATGTAATGTGTTCAGCTCTTAGCTAACTCAAAGTGCCGCCGACTATTTAATGGTAGTCAGTCCCACTCCTGGACAGTACTTTTAACAATAAAGGAAACTTACTGGACTGTGGTATCTTTTAAATATTGATAATCAATTGGTGATGACTAGTAATTTCTTCAGCGATTAGATTGGAATAATTTCCTTTCAACAACTTTGTTCTATTTCACCTATGGTATGGTGTCGGTGCACTCATTAATCCATTGTAAGATCCAAGTTATAAGTCTTCTCTATAAATCTTCCATTGTTGTAATTCAATTCCACATCAGAAGGCATGACTAAATTACATTCTGAATATTTGGTTTCAGACCAATTTAATCAATTAATTCCTTGGAACCAATAAACGGAAGTTTACAGACTGCCAGTATTGGGTTTGATAAGACAACAAAAACCAAAAGAACTGTGGATGCTGCAAGTCAGGAACAAAAACAGAACTGTGGAAGGGTCACTGGACTCGAAACGTTAATACTGATTTTTTTCTTCAGATGCTGCCAGACCTGCTGAGCTTTTCCAGCAACTTCTGTTTTTGATAAGACAATGCCGTAACAGGTATTAACAGTAGCCATAGAACCATGCAACAATATAGCTTTATAACATGGGAGGTATTTCATCAAATGTGTCAATGCTTGTTCATTATTAGAGTAATACCAAATTAATCCCACTCTGTTATCTTTCCTCATTTCAAATACTTACTAAAACTGTGTCCTCTGGTTCCAGATTAATTTATGGATAGAAAAAATTTCTCTCTATCCACTTTGTCCAGATCCATCATGATTTTGAAAATTTCTAACAAATCTCCTCTCAGCCTTCTCCTCTTCAAGAAAAACAGTCCCAACTTCTCCAATCTTTGAGATAGATAGGTTCTTGATTGCCAAGGTGATCAAGGGTTATAGGGAGAAAGCAGGAGAATGGGGTTTGAGAAACTTATCAGCCATGATTGAATGGCAGAGCAGACTTGATGGGCCAAATGGGCTAATTTCTGCTCCTACATCTTATGGACTTTTGTCAGAATTGTTTTCCAACCCTGAAACCATTCTCATAAACCTTTTCTGCAGGCTTCACAGTACATTCAGCACTGTACACAACACTCTAGACAGGGTCTAACTTGTGTCTTACACAACTTCATCATAACCCCCGTTTCTTGTACCCTATAACCCCCTTTACGAAGCTTGGAATAGTGTACACTTTATTAACAGTTTACTCTCTACCTGCCCTGCCACATTTAATGACTTATGTACAAATACACTCAAGTGTCCCTGCACAATCTTTATTTTATACTGTTCTTTACACCAAAGTGCATCACCTCACTCTTCATCAAATTGGACTTCATCTACCACCCATTCACTTACACGCCAAAGACTTCATACAGTTCTACACTGTCCTCCTTTACAGTTTACAATTCTCTCAAGTTGTTATCCACATTCTGTGGGGTCTTCTACTCAAAGAAATTGGCTGAACCCCAAGAAGAAAGTCATGATTTGCATAGATAGAAAGCTTCTCTATTGTCATTTGCATTAGGTAATTAAATGGATACAGTATTAGATTTGTAAACTTAGCAAAATGTGCTTTATGGGTTTTTGATTGCAGGTTGCTTGCTTTCCCCTATTGGAACTTGCACTCACAGCAACGGAATTAGTATACCTTAAAATTAAGTTTATTTCATCATCTTTGCTCCATTCTGTCCCTCCACTCTGCTTCCAGTTGAGGTAATTTAGCCACTTGGAACGACATTGCTTTTCAGAACGGGTGCCGACCCGTTCAGCGACTGCAGCCCAAGAAACACCCTGAGTGACAATGTCACCGGGATCTGTGGCAGTTAATTCATGGACCACCTCTGCAAGTCGTTTTTCTTCATCTACCGTCCATTTACCTGAAAAATGAGATGCAACAAAATGTTTGTGCAATTTGAGCAACTATGGCTCCCTGGACATTAGCTACGGATGCCTTTTCACACATGCCACGGCAAGAATGAGAAAGGAAAATGAGAAATGCATTCATAATGGCCTTAGAACCACAGTTGGGTTAAATTTAAAACAATCCCAATTTTCTCAGAACAACATTAAACAGCAAATATTCTGGAATAAGAATTGCAATGACAAAATGTTCTGAGCTAGGAATAAGGTGCTTCAATGTACCAAGTTAAATTTTGTGCGAAAGTGATTCTTCAATAGTGTAACGCAATGTCTCAGCCATACCACAGAGGCCAACACTTACAACAAAAAAATGGAGGAACATGTTTATGAACAAATGAGTAATTAAAATTGATATCAATGAAAGTACTTTAATACACTGCTTGCCAACTATTTTAAGAATAAAATTGGCAAAGACCTGACACACACAAGCTATGCCTCTTAGCCTTGGAGTGATGCACAGGGAACCAAATAAAGATAAGTTTTGAATGAAAGAAAGGTGTTCCACAAGATTAATCCAAGAGAATAAACTGTGTATGTTCCACTTCAGTACAACTGTGTGTTTTGTGGTGATTTAATCATGTTACAGTCAAGTCTGTATTCTAAATTAAAGACATCCAGAACTTAAACAATGTAAGAAGCGTATAACATAAGAATTCAAAGATAAACAAAACACAATCAGAATAGGTTTTATACTCTTGGAAAATGATGCAACCTTTTGTAAAAATGATAAATCAAGAACAATAATAGCAAACATTATTAGATATAAAATAAATGTGGAATATCTGTTAAAGATAAACATGTAGAAATTGCCCTTAACTTTAAGTGCTCTAAGTGATTTCTAGGCTTCCATTCATTCTACCCTCTTGATGCATTATGATGCTTGATTGTAATTCATGATCGCTTCCTCCATTCTGCAGAATCTGAAGAAGATTTTTCTTTTACATTTGCTTTTTAATTAAACAATTGTAAAACCACAACTTTGCATAGTTTTAAAAAATGTTGCTATAGCAGATTTGTAATCAGATTCCTATTCGTTTTGAACCTGATGGGGATGAATCTTTAGATCAAGTGCTAATGTGATTAATGTGGAAAGCAAAATTTCAACAGGCGGGACTACAGTGAGAAAGCCAAAGCCTTCATTTAAAGGCGAGCTGTCAAAATCTTGTTTTCCACATTCTAGGTTTTTATATATTCCTTCAATTTTTTTTCTAACAGGTAATGATACACGGTGACGCCATTTTATCTAATTCAGAATAATCATCTCCATTTACAATGAGGATGTCTAAACAATGTATGCCTTCTTCTCTGCATAGTTTATGTTAACATAGGGTTTTCTGACACACAGGCCACAATCAATCAGTGAAGATAGGTAACTATATCTCCTCCACAATAACACTCGACACCGGAGCTACCCCCCCCACCCAGGATGTGTCCTCAGCCCTCTATTGTACTTACTTTACACCTATGACTGTGTTGCCAAATTCCAAACGAACGCCATCTACAAGTTCGCTGACAACACCACCGTAGTGGGACAGATATTTAACAACGACGAGTCAAATTACAGAAGGAGATAGAGGGCTTAGTGATGTGGTGCAATGAAAACAATTTGTCTCTCAACATCAGCAAAACTAAAGAATTGCTCATTTACTTCAGAAAGAAAAGGAGGAGAACATGCCCCCATCTATGTCAATGGAACTGAGGTTGAGAAAGTGGAGAGCATCAAGTTCCTCAGAGTGATGACAACCGACAATCTGTCCTGGACTTCCCACATAGATGCGACAGTCAAGAAGGCATTACAACGTCTCTTCTTCCTTAGGCAGCTCAGGAAATTTGGCATGTCTGTAAAGGACCCTCACCAACGTCTACAGATGCACCATTGAAAGCATACTGTCTGGTGCACAATGGCCTGGTATGGCAACTGCTCTGCCCAGCCCAGACAATCATGGAAGCCAATCTTCCATCCATGGCCTCTATTTACACGGCTCACTGCCGCAGAAAGGCTACCAACATCCTCAAAAGACCCATCACACCCTGGTAATGCTTTCCTGCAACCTTTTCTGTGAGGCAGACAATACAGATATAGCTTCTTCCTGGCTGTAGTCAGACTGTTGAATGGACTCTCCAGCCTCAAATAATGCTGAATTTGCTCATGTTGATTTCGCCTCATGCATGCCCTGTGAAATGTAACCTATATGCCTCTCAGTCTTTGATTTGTACATCCTTTTCTGACTGTGATCTGCCTGTACTGCTCGTAAACAAAGCTTTTCACTGTATTTTGGTACACGAGACAAAAAATAAAATCAATCACTAGCACAACAAAGCAGCTTTACTGACATAACAACTGTATAATACAAAGGAATTTAGACACAGGATTTAAAATAGTATAGCTTCAGGCTCTACCTGTGTTGCAAGTGTCTTTCATCAATCTGCACCGGTCTTTTACTGAAGAAGCACTCCTTCCCAGAGCAGCCCCTATAGTTGCCCAATCATTACCATGCTTCAAACGTAGCCTAAATAATAAGCAAAACACATGTTAAACATTTCTTTACCTTACAGGTAACATTAAGAAATACACAATAAAATAAAAATCCTCAATAAATTTACAACTAACATTTCAATAGCAGTTTGACAGCCATGGAGAGTTTCAGAATAGTAAACTAATTTTTGATACACTAAATGTATTAAACTATTCCTTCCCTATTTTATGAGTGAGTGACAAATCTAGGTGATTAATTGCAATTCAGTTCATAAAATAATGATATAATTTTAGGTCACTGTGTGAAAACAGTGCCATTGTGTTCAACGTAACATTCTAAAGATTTCCTAAACAGTGACATACAGAATTATAATTAAAAATAATCCAATATTTAATTATATACTTTTATAACAGGCTATCAAAATATACATCTTTTAAATCAGTTAAAGTTTTATTTATATCTCATCCAAAGCCACAAATCAATTTGATTCTTAATAGCTTCTCCAAATTGTCCTCAGCAAAACAGAGCAGAGTTGTTTCATTTCCAACACTGAAACTGTCAATTGTTTTTTTGTTAGCATATGCACAACATGTTTGGCATAATAGTATTCAATTGTTCTCAGTTTAATCCAAAATATTCAGTTCCTGCTACCTAGCAATTAAGCACGTGCAGTCGATGGACACATCACAGAGTCCATGTCACCTCACGGAGAGCACCAGCCATGCTTCAGTTGGTAGCAGTCTCATCTCTCACTTTACGTGCTAAGGTCCTATGTTAGGGATCCAGTACAATGTCCAGGTTGACTTTGTTGTTATTCCTCAACAAACATCACTTCAGAGTAAATTATATAGTCATTATAACATTGTTGTTTGCAAACCCGTCCCAAGTTGTTATATAGGAAGCATAACAGCCAAATTACACAATGATTATACTTCAAAAGGTACATCTTTGGCTATAAACCACTATGGAGTTGTGAAAATACAAGGTGTGTAAATGCAAGACTTTCTTTATAACAACAATAAAACAATAAGCATGGAAGATAAGCTTTAATTACAGTTCAGATTATGAAGCCATCACATTGATAAACTACAATTACAATTATTTTCTAGCTTAATCAGGAAATATATGAGTGCTGTTTCAAAGGGATGGTCGATGGCCTCTGTTGCCCTCAGCCAGAAGGATATGGGCCTAGTGCAGGGAAATGGGTTTAGCGTGGAAGGACAATTTGGTGAGCATGGATCCAATTGGGCCGAAATGCCTGTTCTGTGCTGTAGGACTCTATGACTCTATGTAGAAACTTGGGCAATTCGTTCACATAATTGGACAACGCCCAACTTAATTGTTTGAAAAATTTGAATGCTGGACTCGATTTTAACTTGTCCCATCAGAGACAGCAGCAAACAGACAATTTGCTTAGTAAGCTGACAGTGTGTAGATAGTGGGAAAACAGCAGCAGATCACACCATGCCATGCCAGCTAACAAGGCAATTACATCAGAGGAGACCAGAGAAAGTTCTTTTGCAACAGGAAATTTTAGTCTGACAGGAGATGTTCAGGGTAGACTGGATGAAAATTTAAAATGATTATTGTAACAAAGCAGAGCAAAATACTTACTCCTTAAGTTTTTCAATTTCCTGTGGTGTATACCTGACAATAAGAAAAGTTCAGAATGGTTAAGAAAACCAATCATCTTCATATTAAAATATCACATCAAATTATAAAATATAAACTGTTCATACTTTCCAACATGGTTTCTATTGTCATACATTCGAAGTACTCGTCTATAGACTGCAAACAACGGCCGATTAAGACCTCTCGCTATGGTTCGGTAGAAATCTTTTCTTTCATCTTTCGACATTTCGAATATGACCTCCGTGGCATCACTTAGTCCATGTATCTACAGAAAGACCAGGGAACAAGGGGCAAACAATTATTTCAGTGTTCCAATAGAATGCATTATTCAGAAGTTCCAATTGCCATAATTATAATAGTTTAGATTGTAAATATGCTGGCATTCTTCCTTTACATAATAAACTGCAATTATATAGTGCTAATAAGAAATTGAAGATTTTGAGAGTGAACAGGGAGGTGCACAGCGCCAGGATGTGAATTCAGAAATATGGGCATAGATGGTTGAAAGCTGCTGAAATGATAGGATGGGATGTACAAAAATCTGGGAACGTGTACATGAATCCAAGACAATGGACCAAAGAGATTTGCAGCTCGAGCTGGGCTGGAACAAGTCAGAAAGAATAGAAGGGATAAGGCGCCTGACGACTGAAGTTTTCAAAGTCAAACACATACATTGATAATATCTAACAAAGTAGATAGGGAGGGTAGAGATTTAAAGTGATTTATAAAGTAAAGGTGATGTGAGAAAACATTTTCACACAATGAGCGTTTTAGGTCATTTCACTTCCTGGAAGTACGAGTGAGGCAGGGTCAATCATAACATTCAAGAAAGCATTAGATGATTAGTTAAATGCAAATAATGCCCAGGGTTATAAGGAAACAGCAGGAGAAAGGCACTAAATCATGGTGCTCATTCAGAAAGCTGGTGAACAACAATGGGCTGATATGTCTCCTTCTGCACTGTAAAACATCTGAGATTCTGCAAATGAGAATTGCATTGGCAGATGGTTCAGCATGTAAAGAAAACGGAGAATAAACAGGTGACATGACCAAGTAACAGGACAGGATGGCAATAAAAGAGAAGGGACAGAGAGAGGTCAAGAGGAAGGAAAGGTCATTAAAACAACGGTCTCAGGTAATAATCAAATTATTTTCATTATTTCTCACCTGTAGATAGTTTTCAATATTGCTCATTAAAATGTCTATTTCTTCCTTTGACCACATTCCCTGCTTCCATTTGTGGCCTGTTGAAGAAAATGTATGCTTTCAATAATATTTAAATGGCTCTGCAGTGGACAATAATTCATAGATTCAAATTAGCAATTTCTCATTTCCAATTTCCAGTCTTGTCAATGCAACCGGTAAAACACGAGAAAAGCAAAATCTAAAAGGCAATACACAGAGGCTCTTCTTGGGTACCTCTCAGCAGGCTGTTCACAAGCAAGGGCTTGGCAGGTGGCTGTAAATAACTCGCTGTTACTCTGACATGGCGCTGCTAGATACAGATAGACCTGAAAAGTGCCTCAGAGGTCAATTACTTTCAAATAAATACATCAAATATTAGTAACTATTGTACAAACGCTTAGTGCAAGCTGAAACAGTGCAGTCATACATTGCAGAAGCATCATTTTCCTCATTTTATACAGCCTGGGTTGAAAAATTACATACAGACCCAGAATTCCCATGTATATTGTAACAAAGTAAACAAGTTAGCAGATTAACATGCCATTCTCCCTTTCCGGCCTCATTTTTCTATTTAAGTATCTCTATTATGTAGGTTCAAGTTCTACTCCAGAGCTGGAGCAGTACTGAGGAAATGTTGTACTGTTCGAAGTACCGTCTTTCAGATGAAAATGTTAAACTGAGGTTCCATATGACATATTGGATGGGTGTAAGACATCTCATGCACTATTTCAAAGACATGCAGAGGAGTTATCAGTGATATTAGAAATCAATGTTTATCCCTCAGTCAATCTGAACATTAACTCACCGTTATTTGAGAGTTTGATGTGTGCAAATTGGCTGCAGCATTGCCTACACTACAAGAGTGATGACACGTCAGGTGGTTGTGAAGAGTGCTATTTAAATACAAGCTTTGCTTACTAATTAAGCAAAACTTTTAAATAGACACACCATTCAGGAATTATTGAATAATTCTATCTGTTCCAAACTAATAGGGCACTGCAACTTCTAATGGAAAATCAAATAGCTATGATTGAAGGTGCAAGCAAAATAAAAAGGAATCACTTCTTTCAGTAAAACGAATAATGTGTTGAAATAATAGCCGATAGAACAAATAACACAGTAAAGAAGGTACGATTTCTATAAGGACTTTTTCAAACCAGAAAATGATGAAAGCAGCTGTAAGCTGCAAGGGAATAGTGATTATTATGTCCCTTTATTTTGAGGTAGCTCAAGAGTTTATTTAAAGGAACTGGGACTCTCAAGGGGTTTGCATAATCACAGACTCAAAAGCTTTGAGAACTCTCTGCCTTGAAAATACTCGCAGACTTTTGGAAAGATTAAAAAAAATATCATTTTACAGGCTGTCTGGGGCAGCAAGTAACACTGCACTCTCATCTTTGGAATGATTGCTGTAAAAGTTTTAAAGAAATTATTTTGGTCCAAATTCAATTTCTATGCACAAGGCCCAGGATAAAACTTGCTAATCTTATGCAGCCAGGTTTCAAAATCATCAGCTTCTTTCCCTAATATAAAGAAATGAGCTATGGGGAAAGGCTGGAAAAGTAGACATTCTTCAATGTCTAAACACTAAAGTTAAAAGAATCAAAAACAAATTGCTGGAAAATCTCAGCAGGTCTGGCAGCATCTTAAGAAAGAAACCAGAGTTAATGCTTTGAGTCTAGTGACCCTTCTTCAGCACTGGACCCGAAATGTTAATTCTGATTTCTCTCCACAGATGCTGCCAGGCCTGCTGAGATTTTCCAGCAATTTCTGGGTTTTTTTTAAGATTTCCAACATCCGCAGTTCTTTTGGTTTTTTGTCTAAAGTTAAACGGAGATTCACTGAGCAATCCAACACAACAGTGTACAAGAAACATCATGAAACACCAGAAGATGCAAAATGTTTGGTTTTGTTTGGGGTGTCATAACCATCAATTTTGATTTTTAGTTTTATTCATTCATGGGTTGAGGGCGTCGCTGGCTAGGCAGCACTTATTGCCCATCCCTAATCGCCCAGAGGGCAGTTGAGAGTCAACCACACTGCTGTGGGTCTGGAGTCACATGTAGGCCAAACCAGGTAAGGATGGCAGTTTTCTTCCCTAAAAGGACATTAATGAAACAGATGGATTTTTCCGACAATCGCCGATGGATTCACAGTCATCATTAGACTGTTAATTCCAGATTTTTATTGAATTTAAATTCCACCATCTGCCGTGGTGGGATTTGAACCTGGGTCTCTAGAACATTATCTGGGTCTCTGGGTTAACAGTCCAGCAATAATACCACTAGGCCATCGTCTCCCCCAGAAAAGTGTAAATTTACATTTCATATTATATATTTGGTGAGGAGCTAACATTCATGAAGACATACAGGACCATGATTATAACAGCATATTGTCAAATAACTTGCCTCAAATCTTAATAAGATGAAAGAACTTTAAACATCAGATTTTTTTTACCATTTTTCATTTTCACAATTATTTTATTAACTCAGTGAATTATACTTGTTAAGATTAATATCACAAACAGGACATTCCATATTGGGAACTTGATAATCCTCTGACCTTTGTTCTGTAGCGTATCCTTATCTTCTTTCGTTGTAAACCAGGCTTGACTAACAGGATCCAAATCTTCATTGTTTTGGGGAGAAATACCATCCATGTGATCTTCATTGTGCAGAACCTACATGCAAAATTGAAATAAAGAAAGAACATAAATTTTTTTAGTATCATTTTAAGACCTCAGGATGTGAAAAACACTCCAAAGGGTAAACTCTGTTTTGAAGTTGGGAAACGTGGCAGTGGATAGGTGTACAAGGCCATGCAGATAAGATAGATGACCAAAACTAAAATCAGAAAATGCTGGAGAAACTCTACAGGTCTAGTAGCAGGTCCACTTCTCTCTCCATAGATGCTGCCAGACTTACTGAATTTCACCAGCATGTTCTCTTTTTATTTTAAATTTCCAGCATCTGCAGTAGTTTCCTTTAAGATAAATGACAAGATTCTTGACCTGTGCTGCTCAAGGGCTAAATGTATGCCATGGTATCAAGATAATTCCATTGCTCTTTAAGTTTGAACTGAATGGGTGGATGAAGCCTCTGTTTAATCAAAAGACAGTCGATCTAGAATGCCTGTGCAGGCTGTGTGCTGAGGTCTAATTTGGGAGTGGAACTCATCACTCAGAAATAAGAGGGTAAGATATGGCAACCAGGTTCTAGGGAGTGTGGCTGACCAAAAAGACCGTGGAGTGGAGGTTCACAGTTCCTTGAAAGTGGAGACACAGGCAGATAGGATAGTGAAGAAGGCATTTGGTATGCTTTCCTTTATTGGTCAGTGCATTGAGTATAGGAATTGGGAGGTCATGTTGCAGCTGTATAGGACATTGGTTAGGCCACTACTGGAATACTGTGTGCAATTCTGGTCTCCCTGTTATAGTAGGGATGCTGCGAAACTTTAAAGGGTTCAGAAAAGATTTATAAGGATATTACCAGGGTTGGAGGGTTAAAGCTATAAGGAGAGGCTGAATAGACTGGGGCTATTTTCCCTGGAGTGGAAACCGAGGTGTGACCTTATAGAGATATATAAAATCATGACAGGAATAGATAGGGTAAATAGACAAGATTTTTTCCCCAGGGTGGGGGATTCCAAAACTAGAGGGCATAGGTTTAATGTGAGAGGGGAAAGATATGAAAGGGACCTAAGGGGCAACTTTTTCATGCAGAGGGTGGTGCATGTATGGAATGTGCAGCCAGAGGAAGTGGTACAATTACATATTTAAAAAGGCATCTGGATGGGTATATGAATAGGAAGAGTTTAGAGGGACATGGGCTGAATACTGGCAAAAGGGACTAGATTTATTTAAGATAGCAGGTTAACATGGATGAGTTGAACTGAAGGGTCTGTTTCCATGCTGTATATCTCTATGACTCTAAATAAAAGGGAACAAAGCTAAAATTTCTTTGTCAGAGGGTGAAATGGTCTTTAAAAGGTAGTTTGCTTGCCACTTTTTGTTTCTTTCAAGTCTATGGATGATTTGTGACCAGCAGGGATTTAGAACTGAACAATGCAGCCCTAAGTGTCTGTCTTCAGCCATAATAACTACAATCTGTGGCACTTATTCTTCAAATTAGCTAGATTTTTAAAAACGATCACTTTCTGCACCATCATAGAATTCAAACTTATGTCAAATGAAGTATTAAGTAAAAATTGTTTATCTTTTTGTCCCACAGTGTATACTGAGTACTAATCATTTCTAACTTTGAAATAGGAGCAAAGGCAAGTGATGATAAAGGAGATGGATGTTCACTTAAAAGAGTTTAAAGTTTAATTGAATAACT